CTCAATTATAGACAAAGCAATTATAGAGTGGAAGAGAGGGAGAGAGAGAGAGGGAGTGGAAGAGAGGAAAATGTCCGGTAGTTGTCATTAAAACCCGAGGATATGAGATGTGTTTTGCAGAAGAGAGTTGTTAAAGTTGTTTACTTTAATTGCTTTTAAAAAAATGTTTTTATCGCAGTATTTACTAAATAGAGGACAATTCAATTCAATTGTATTATTTCTGTTTTTGAAAAACAAAATTTACAGTCAAATGAATTTTAGGTTTATTTTTAGTCTAATCTTTCAATCTTTCATCGAAAGAGAGGGAAGATATTCACGAAAGAGACTGTATTTTAAAGTTAAATCTTTTCTCGTAGAAACCAAAAAAAGGCATAAACCTTGAAAAGTGTGGATTCCGTAGGAATTGCAAGGGATTGGCGTTTCGCTGCTGAATACTAATTGATTGAATATTATTTAATTAATATTTCATTTATACTGGAATTTCAGTGTCAAATGTTTGTCAGGCGATGTAATTCATACCATGTATTTTCTACCAATACTTTTCAGTTATTTTTTAATTTCAATATTTTCAATATTAGTAGTAATAATTTATTAGCCAAAACATCCAACAAATCAGTATTGAATTCAAAGTATTTATAAAATAAATAATCTTATCGTTTGAAAAGATAAGCTCTGTTTTGTCAACTTAAAGAAATACTTTCTTTGTTTACTCCACTCTTTTTCATTTAATTTTGTAACATTTTTATAATTTTCTGAGATTTGTTTATTAAAAAATATATTAATAAAAATATTTCCGATAAAATGATTTTCACATTAGAAAGCGTTTGCTCTAAAAAGAGAAATATCTTCTTCTAAACGGAAACGGTTTGCGAAAACAATTCGTTAGAATATTATATTCTAAATGCAGGTCTTGTTTGAAGAGTTTATCGCAAATAATAAAGACTATTGTCTTAAGTAAAAATTACATTTGAAGACAATATTTAGGGTAAAGGCCTTTATAGAGAACTACACAAACTTATGATATTATATAATAGCGAAAACAAACAAATTGATAGCATGTTTAAACAACAAATACTTTTTGAATGACTTAATTGTTGTTTATTTTAGTTTAATTGAAATATTGATAACAAATATACTAAAAGACGTCTTTTCTTGTTAAAGGAAACACATCTTAATTGAAATACAAATTATTAATAAGTATATATTTAAGCAAAATATTATTTATAGCTCATATTAAGAATAGTTTTTGCTCAACCAATTTGCCTAAACATGAATTTTAAAATAATTACAACACTTTTAGCGATAAGTATATTAACAATGGGTGTATACGGAAGGGCAGGAATACCCGGGAGAATACCAATACTGATGTTCAGACGAGACGACGCGAGCGCCGGTATAATTAATAAAACTCCTTACGACTGGAACTGTCGTTTCGATCATGACTTCTGTAATCTGCAAAACGACTACAATATGGCTTTGTTTCAGAGACATTCAGACCAGCGCTTCCCTATGTTTGGCGAGTCGTCAATGCTTTACGTCAATGTGTCGATTGCCGGCAACTTTCAGGCCGCCCGACTCGAGACCGACTATTTTGATACATATGCACATTCATCCGCCTGTCTGTCCATCACATACCTCATGTACGGAACCGGTGCCACAAAACTGGTTGTCATTCAACAGGACGTACAGAATAAGTGCATTTGGATTGACGACAACCAGACGGTCGACACGTATGGGAAATGGAAAGAAGCCATGTTTACGATAGACCTGCGCGAAGGCAAACCTCGCTTCTTCATCGAGGGTCACATCAATGTCCGGCCACCCAATTATGGCACCATTGCTATCAGTCGTGTGTCCCTATCGTACACACCATGCGATTACGACAGCACTAACTATTGCCACAAACCACTGGTCGAACCACAACCCCAACCGCCCGAACCTCCTCCCTATCAACTAATCCCTAGCGCTGTCTAATTGACTGAAATTGGATTTTCATTTCATAAGTTTCGAAATATTGTATTAATGAAAGAAATACTGTAAGCTTATTGACGGATGAGTTTAAACTAATTCAAAGTAATCACTGGTAATTAGTGGTTGTATTTATGCTGTATTTCAATTACCGTATGTATTAAGTCTTAAAAGTATCCTTATTTGTGAATAAGAGTAATGAACGAAATGTTTAAACAATTTATAAGTTTAAAACATTTAATTAGAGTTGATTTCAAAATACTGTAAATTATAATTAAAGCAAACAATCATTAAGAATAATGTCATTATTTAAATTATTATTATAGTAATGTGACATCATTTTCATAAAGGTGTTCAATAAATATATTCAGTTCATAAGAGTGTTAATTAGTTAATCACTTGATTTACCATTGAAAATAAAAGTTTGTATTAAACATTTGAAAAAATATTAATCTAGATTTATTAATAAACTAACAATTTTATGGTCAATAAGCGCTAATATGAAATGAATTGATTACAATGATATAAATCAGTGGGTGTTATGCATGGGATTAATGGGAACGCGACAATCAATTTAAATATATTAAAAACGCCGTTTGTTTTGCAATACTTTCTACAATTATATATCTATTTTAGACAATAATACTAAACAAAAGAAAAATGTATTCTTTTAATTAAAAACTTTAAGGAAAGTGATATATAATTATAGGCATTACGTGTGAATTGTATCCAATTTCTCTCTCGCCTATTGTTAGCCAACACTTCATTATATTTAATCATTCACTTGAAGATTATATAATTTTATTGATATTATCGATAAATGGGTTCATTAAAGGCATTGAGTTTGGAAATTGGCTTAAAATCTCCTCATATTTTTCTAATTGTCTCAAATAATTACAAATTTTAGAAAAAATGAGTTTAAAATGTAAACAAATAAATACATTTGATTGTGAAATATTGAGACAAAGACTTATATTTAAGGAATTTTTCGTCGAATAAATTATTAGTTTATACGAAAGCGAGGATTGAAGTGACTTACAGACCAGTTATGCGTTGTTTAACATTAATATTATGGGCACTTTTATTAACCATAATCACAGGTCGCTATTATCATCGGCTGAGAAACATAAGACTCGGCAAAAGTTTTTGTACCGCATATCAGGAGTTAAAGGACAATAAATGTTCGGCCCGTCTGTCCCAGTGTTCGGCTCTAACGCCACTTGAATTGAGACAAATGCGACAAATTCTGTGCGGATTCAAGTTCGACGCCGGCGTTCAAACGGATCCCCCGCCGCCCTCTACTAACCTCATCCCATATCCCAAACACTTCGCCGATGTATTCGAAGCTGATATACACTACTATCGGTTCGCGGCCTCTATTTATTCATCGGATCGCAAGTATATCTGCAGCGGTGCTCTGGTTTCGCCCAAAACTGTGGTCACTTCAGCCCAATGTGTGTCACAACCGGGAGAGAAGAGGAAACGACGACAAGACGAGGGACAGGAACAGGAAGGACCCGAACAGACGCCCGAAGGAGGGCCCGGACCGTCCGGGAGACTGATTGTCCGCTTTGGCGAACAACACCTCAACATAAATCCTGTCTTCAAGAATGTGTACGAATATGATGTGGAATCGGTTGAAGTGAGTCCACAGTACGACGAAGAGTCACATCAGAACGATATCGCAATCATACGACTGGTCAATGAGGTGCCGATCTGTAAATTCCCGCCCATTTATATTCCCCGTAAGTTTGAATATTGGCTGGACTTCGAGCACATCGCCGGCAGTTCAGCCACATATCTGGGTTGGGGTCTCGAAAACCAGAGGCCATACTTCCGGGCACTCTCTGGTGAAGTGCTTTCGCATCATTTTTGCCAAAAGTTATTCAATTGGGATTACAATCAACTCCAGCGCTCGCATATGTGTCTCGACTCGCCATCCGGTGTGTGTGTCAGTGATATCGGCGGTCCACTCATAACCTATACGAAAGATCGATGGGTTTTGATCGGTATAATGACTTTTGGCAAACACTGCAGAACTCCCGGTTTGCCATTGATTTTCTCGCGAATCACCGAATCTCTGAATGAGATCACCAAATATGTTGAACAAGACTTTCACTCGCGAAACGTGACGCTACTTCACGAAGAGTGCCATCACAAGCACTTTCACGTACCCATACATCCCATCAAAGAAGTGAAAGTACCCGTCCATCCCATCGGTCACGAACCACATCACCACCCTATTGATGTTCACCACCACTCACACGATGCACACCACTTACACCATACAGGCCTCGACCACTCTATTCACCCCAAACTAGACGACCACTCCATTCACTCCAAACTCGACGACCACTCCATTCACACCAAACTGGATGACCACTCCTTTCATTCAGACCGCGGGGCTGTCCTTCCCATCGAACACATTGATTACGATTATGTAAATAAATATTAAATAAATATAATTGCAATTAAACAACAATTTAATTAAGATTATAATCATTTTTGGGATGAATATATTTCACATGATTTAAAACATTAAAAGAATATTTAAAATTAGATCAAATTGACATTCAATATGTTATATACAGAACAATGATATTTATATAGATATTATGTTTAATTAAAAGTCAATAATTAATTCAGTTTTAAAATAGATTCTCTTTTTGTTTTTTTGGGGTAAACTCTAAGACTGGAAGTAAACTCTATTTAACAATCAAAATAGACTAATATTGAAAAATAGACTCATATTTAGACATCGATTGATTGCTACAAAACAACAATATAACAAGTTTTAGACTTTTTTCAATTTTCTCGAGTGTTTTCTCAAACGTTTTTTACGTTTTTTGGATTTGTTTGCGGTATTATTGATAACGGATGTCATGAGTGACGCAATCAGCGATGAGGGAGAGACTGGAGGTGTAGTTAACGAGCGTTTCTGTTGGTCGGAACAGTTGGGCACAGAGGAGGACACACCGAGATCTCGTTCGACCAGATCTGCCAACTGTCCCCTCTCTGCTAACATCGCCAGAAATGTTGTGATGAACTGATCGTAATTGTGTGTCCGTCTCGAGTCGTCCACACGAAACTGCCTCCTCTTCTCCAACTCGTCCTTCAGATTAATTTCAGTCGAATTGATGTCAATCTCGAGATTCTTGAGAAGAGCGACCAAATCGATGGCTGTAAATGCTTTGGATGGTGTACTCGATCTGGTGCTCGTCGACATCGATGGCGATGGAATCGATGGGCTGTGTGTGGATGTAATGGCTGGTGTGGGCGTCGATGAAGACATACTCGATGGCGAGGGCGACGAGATGTCGATAGTAGGAGTCGATGGACCTGTTTTTGGTTTGCGGTTAAATAGTTTGCAAACAATCATTTGGTTAACCCTTTCGTCCGTATTATCACAACTCGTATTATTCGGCGAATTAAAAGCGGATCCGATTTCGGAAGACGTGTCAGTACTCGAGGAAGAGCTCGGCGTCGGAGATATGGAGGTCTGAATAGATAGCGGGAGTCGTAAATCACTTCTGACACTCTCTTCGGCTATAGATATGGTTAACGGCTCTTGGATTTCATTCGTCTTTTTGGTCTCTTTGTTGGAGTCGTTGTTATTGCCGTCAGTTTTGTTAGTGTCGAGCATTTCCTCCTGAGGTTTCATTAAAATTTCGGGATATTTCGAGTAATTGTGATAATCAAGAGGTGTTGGCAAACGTGTGGGTCGAGTGATCTCTTGCAGCGCTTCCAACACAATGTGTCGATTAGTCTTCAATATATTGAGTTTATTGAGATAATTAACCCGTTTGTCGGGCACCACAGCCATCAGGTTATAGCGGATGTCATTGCCTTCGGAGGGCTGTGTCTCCCTCTCGAGTCGCTGTCGGATCACTTTCCGGAACTTTTCGGTCCAATACTCGTCTTCGATGGAGCCGTGGTCTATAGGGAAGCGCTTGAGACCATCCAATTCGATGAGACGGCCATTGATTGGCACGTATGACGCGAAGTGGAAGGCGTCCAGACTTGACGAGCGTTGAGTGGCCGACAGGTTGGCGGGACGGGAGGCCGTACTGAACTTGTTCTCAATCGAGATCTCATGAGAGGGCGCCGCGTGTGAGTTGTGAGCTCTGGCCAACTCCGGACAGTTGCCGATCGCATAGCCTTTGTTCTCAGGGCTCATGAACTTCGTGTCCATCTGTTTGGGCGGCAAAACAATCAACAAAATTAATACAATTCATAAACTCGTTGTCTTCAGACCTGAAATCGGTGTAAAGCGGACCCCAACTGAATGTGCGGACAATTGAGAAGCACTGATAGCAAGGCATGAGTGGCGCAAGAGTTGGGAACCATTTGTTGGGCGAAAAACATCTCATTGACCACCTCTTCGTTCTCGATCTGGTCGGTGGTGTGGTGTCCGCCGGCGGGCCCGTTGTGTTCGTTGCCTCGTGAGCGCCACCGACCCCTCCTCTCCTCCACCCACTTGAAGAGGAAGATGAAGCCGAAGACAGTGCCCTCAATAGGTTTGGCCAAATCGTAGATCTCTTCCACTTGAATGCCTTTACAGCCGAAGTCCTCCAGAAGTAGTGTAAACAATCCCGGATCCGACTCCAACTCCAGCCATCCCTCAGACAATCGGTACAAATCGTATGGCATTTCGCAGATGTTTGAGCGGACACTCGGGTCAGCGCTTCCAGTGATCGCTGGTCTCGACTACAAGTGTTGCGCCAATTGTTGTCACAAATGGTATCAAAAATAGGGTTCAAAATGAGTGAAACATATGATGTGCTCAACAGAAGGGACCGTTCAGTCATCACAAACCGCATCACATTTTCGCGCATTTATCCCATCATTGGATTCACATTTAATTCACATTTAATTCACATTTAATTATTTTTGGTTTATTTAACACTACTTTTAATTGCCTTATATTTGGATGAAATTCATTACGATTTGGTCATTCATTCAGTGATTAGTCATGTATTGGAGGCAAATAATTTACATGTCAGGCCATTCATGATTATTCGTTTTTAATACACCATGATGTTTTATTAAATTGTGATTTATATTGCAATATAATCAATAATATTAATTAGAAATTTATGATGGTACAAATATCGATTGATTATTTTGAGTAAAATCGTATACAATTATCTTTAAACGGGAAAACATTTAAATATATTTTGATGAACTTTAATAATTACAATATTTTGCAATAAATAACTTTACAATTCTGGAAAAACAATATGTTTAGCATTTTATTACACAATTAAAGGGAATTACACATCGATTATCATTGCTTTCATTATTTATTTAACATAACTTAAATGTTACATATTTTGAGAATATATTCAATTGATAGCTGACTTAAATTTAATTTATACATAAGTTCAAATTATAAGTATTAATAATTGCATTGTATGTTCAAATAAATTATTATTTTATATTACATCAATAATTAAATGGCAAAAATACAGTTAAGAAAATACACATAAGATATTCTTGAAATGATAATGGTAGTTATCGTATAATTCATGCAATTTGAAGTCATAAAATAATTGACCATAGTCTATTGGATAAACTAATTTGTAATTGTTTAAAGTTTAAACTTTAAACTATCATAATATTATTATGTAATATCTTTATCATTACTACATATTAAAAGACTAAATATTGAGATTCAAATGAGTGTATTTAAAGACAAGAATTTCATTATGTAATTAAATGCCACAAATTTCTATATACTTATAGTATTGTATACTTAATCAATAAAATTAACTTTATATTTGACTTAAATAATAAATATACTTTGGTTTACTATACAAATAAGATTTAAATAACTGTTTACTCACTATTTAATGACTAGAATTGGGAAAATTATAAAATAAAATAATTAACAAATTAAGCGACTATTGGTAGGAATGAGATATTTGTGTGAAGTGTTCAGTGTTTGCCATTTGTTGAGGAATTGTTGAGTTGTTGTGAAAGACTTGATGTGTTGCAGACATCGAGTGATCGGTTTGTGTCACAATCGGTTCAAACGACACATTATTGTTACCATTAATTGCATTATTAATGTTATGCTTATAACTAACAGCCATTAATGCCTGACAATAATAGGAGTAATACAACTGTTGCTGAACTGTCAACTGTTGTCCACCGCTTGGATTTGGTTGATAGCCGTTAGGGTTTGGATTCTCACTGCACACAACTTCCTCTCCGTTATCATTACTAAAGTCATCTTTTTTCAGAATCTCTTCAATAGAATAAGTTTTAAACTTCTTTTGCCTTCTTTTTGCTACAAATCATTTTAACGTTAATTATAAGCAAATGTATTATAAGAATATTCTCTACGCGTGTAATAATACCCAAAACTGGTTGACATTGATTCTGAGACTTTCTGCTCATCTCATTGTTCGCCGCATTGATTGTATCGTTTGATTCTCCGCCAGAGGAATGGTTTGAATTTGGTGTCCACTCGAACAGTGCATTTGTGCCGTTTCTTAGTATGCGATTAATGGATGAGATCGACGGAATCACATTCACCTGAAGATCAGACTCTCTGCCAGAGGACGACGACGACGAAGATGTGCCAGAATTGGCGTGTTTTTGGTTATATGTGATCAATTCTCTCCGTAAAAGGTCCCTGATCTCCCACGCGAAGATAGCCGGGTTCTCCTGCTTCAGGCGTAGGATCCTCTTCACGATGTTAGGTGTGGTCACGTGTTTCGGTTTAGAGCCGCCGATTGAACCTATAGTTAGGGAATAGGTATCGCTTCCGTTAATTGTGGCTTTCGGTGAATTCAAAATGCAAACTCACGTAAATGATTGGTTCCCGGCTTTATTGAGCCTAGATATAATTAACATTTAAAACATTACTATTAATTGTACAGTAATTTTTAATGTATAATTATTGGGTATAATGTTAAAACATAAATTCGTAATATTTTGCAATTGGAAATATAGCATTTTGTCTTATGGAAGACACTTTTGAATTGTCTATAATATTGTTAATTAAAAATGCTTAAAATACAGACCGGTTTCGTAAAATCTTGTGAGTATTTTGGAAACACATCCGTGAGATACCAATAACTGTCGGGATATATCGCACGGCCGGACACCCAATAGCGCCAATTCTATGATACGGTGGCGAACGTGTAGTGGAAGTGGTCTTCCGTTTACAAAGAGTCCGCCCAATTGATTGATCCCCGCCTGACCT